CATGTGAAGAAGCAGACAGCGGCTTTAAAATGTTTGCTATTCTTTCCCTTGCCTTTCAGATTTATATAACAGAATTTAAAGTATACCTACACTTAAAGCCACTTGTACTCTGGCGGAGTGAAAATATCAGCACAGTGCATTCAACAGTGAACTTTCTTGTTTGTCCTTACTTTACTTTCCCCCAAGTAACATCACTCTGCTTTCTGTTTTCTGGACATTTGATGTAAAAGAAGGATGATGACTTTAATAACTTGAATAACAGTGACAAATTTCCATTTCACTTTACTGACCAGCTTCCATGTGGTTTAATGCAGCTTGAATAAAATTCTCCGGGAGGTGGACCTGAGCCACCCTCTCTGGGTTTACGAGTGCTGATTCCCCTGCGCACTAAAATAGCAGCGTAACCTATTACAGACACTTGGTATCTGTTACTAAGAGGGAATTATCAAACCACCATAGAAACAGGAATACAGCGGATCACAGGACTTCTCCAAAGGCCAGAAGCCCTGTTGGTTTTACAGCAGAATGCTCACACACTCTGGCAAAAGAAAGTGAAGTTTCTAAACAACCAAAACAAAAGACTTCACCAACACCTGCTGGTTTTTGTTTTTTTAAAGGCAATTTCTAAATATTCTGCAAGTACTCAGTTCTAATCTAGAAGGTATATTTTTTCCTATCAAGTTTACAGGTAGCTAACTTTAAGATAGCAATTTTTCCAGCAATTTATTTCTTTTGTGCCAACTCTGATTAGAAGCTGTACAATCAACAGTCAGCCTGACATCCAGCCACACCTAAAAGGTCAACCTTGTCCTCTAGTAACTTACTGTTCAAAGTAATACCAAATCTGGAGTAGAAGTCTCAGGAAGTCAACATGGTACTTCTATACCTTCATGAAACATTTCTCTTTCTTCAAACTCCTTCTTAAAGACTGTAGGCCAAGAGTGGATTCACATGATTCATTTAAGAGCAGGAAAAACAGATAAAAGAATGTAAAACTTGTGAAAGCTTGGTTCTGGCCTTTAATGGTCAGATAAAGATTTTGAACAAAGTAGCCAATAGCCTACTGTAAGTCATAAAATAATATTGATCCTGCCAAGGATTCAGCATCATCCCTGTGTACTAATTTGGATATGACAAGTTTGGAACTTATTTATACCTTGTAAAGTATTTTATGGCTCTTTCTTTCCAAGGAAGCACACATCATATTGCATAAAGTCTGTGAATATAAAAGTCTTTCTCGCTGCCAAGAAAGCAAGAAGATTGTCAAAGTATTGTTTTTTTCCATAGCTGAATTAGCGGTGGTAGCTGTACAGATTACCCAATTGTCAAGACTTTGTTTCACGTACTTTGGACAAGTTATCAGCAAAGTCCAGTCCCTGGAGGTGGACATTATGCTTGATAAAGCAGAGGGTCATTGAAAGAAAGGAAGATCCTCAAAGAGATGGATCGACTCAGTGGTTGTAGCAATGGACTTAAACACAGCAATGATTGTGAGGATGGTGCCGGACCAGACAATAATAGGGTTGCTATGAGTCAGAAGCTCCTCAACGACACCTAACAACAACAACAACTGTACTAATATAGCAGATACTTTATAACCGTGAAACTTTGAATTCCAAAAGTTATTGATGGCCCCAAGACTACCTGGTTCATAAATCTACCAGGACTGGATCTGCAATTATGACCAGCTTTGTGTAGATCTAACAAAGCCACAATGAGTGTCAGCAATGCCTAGTGTGGGAGGGGCACGGTAACCATCTATGGAGATTCGTTGTGCATCAGTTACTGCCTCAAGTTGCTCCAACGTGTGGCAAACCCACATACAACAGAATAAAAGACTTTCCAGACGTGCATCAGCCCATGCTGGGTTGGGGATCTGACCATTATGATCTTTTGGTTATTGTTATTGTTTGTTTTAAAGTCTTTGAACATTGAGTCTCAAAACTGCTAAGTTATTTTTAGGGGAGTTATCATTGGCTGGGAGTCCTGGTATGATGCCTTAGATAAGCACTGGACTGCTAACCACAAACCCACCAGCCACTCCTCAGATACTCTATACTGCGTCCCTATGAGTCAGAACCAACTCAACAGCAGTTAACAACAATACCATTGGCTGATTTATAGAAGTACAGCTCTAGAACTTTCTTCTTAGTCTGTCTTAGTCTGGAAGCTCTACTGAAATCTGTTTCACATCATAGCAACAATGACAGAGGAGTGGTGGTTGTGCTGGAGGTACATTGGCTAGGAACTGGAACTAGGACTCCAGCAGAAAAGTAGGAAGTCTACCCCCGAACCACCAACATCTTCTCTATTTAAACAGGTTTGAAAACTAGGAAATCTCCATCCCTCCTTAACCTTTGCTCTCAGGGACTCACATAACAATCGGTGTTCTGCTTTGCTGTGGTTGGTTAAGTGTCAGCTGAGTAGGTTCCCACTCCCACTCCAAGCAAGCCCTGTCTAGGGTTTCCAAGGAGCAGCTGATGAGTTTGAACCTTTGACCTTACGGTTCAAACCAACTTTGCAGTCCATGTGTTAACCCACAGCACCACACCAGGGTTCCCAGTAATGCTTTATCTAAATTCAAGATTAGGAAATAGCCAGACATCATTTTGTACAAAATAAAGTTTCAAAGGAAGCTATCAAATATTTACTGCTCATGGAAAAGAATAAAAGCACACCAGTCTAAGGTTGCAGTGGTTCAAAGGGAGAGAGGCTACATTATTTGCTCTGGGACAATGGCAGGGAAGCATCTTATTTCCAGAAGCAGACTTCTTCAACACAGGTATCCCAACCTGGGAACAGACTTTGCTTGTCGATCTTCACTTTACACTCCCAGACATCCTCCTTCTGTGATATTATCACAGTTCACGCCAAAGTATACTCCGGGTTTAGTCAGGAAGAGAGGTAAAACGGCCAACGTGGCTCTTCTCTTGAAGACTACTAGGTGCTTCTCCACACAAGAAAAGATTTTGTCTCAACTTCATTTTAAGCGAAGCTGCAAGAGGGATGTTGAATATTAAAAGGCACGCCTCCTCCATTTCACTTCCTGCTTTGTTTTTCTAAAAAATTATCTTTTATCATAACGACACAAAGTCCCTTTTGAGCAGCCATGACTTTTACTTAAGCAATAAGGAAAGGGTATTGTTTACAACTTCACTCTTTGGCTCTCATATGCTTGTAAAATAGCTTTGCAGTATTGGAAACCCTATCTATGTAGGGTCCTGGTGTGACGCTGGATTGCAAAGTTGGTTTAAACCAAACGGCCGGTGGTTCAAGCTCACCTCGAGACCCCTATACAGGGTCGCTATGGATCGGAACCGACTCGATGGCACTTAACAACAACGACAGCAGTGAGGGTTTTTTGTTTTGTTTTTAATAGAGTGGCGCTATAAGTGTAGGACCGCAAAGTTGGTTTGAATCACAGGGTCGGCGGTTCAAACTCACCATCGCTCCTCGGAAGTCTGTATGAGTCTATATGACTATACAGGTCACTATGAGTCGGTACAGAATCCACAGCACTCAACAACAACAAAACTTCGCTTATGGACGACTGGTTTGGCGCTGTAGGACCAGCACTGGACTGCGAACCACAAGGCTGACAGTTCAAACCCCTCAGCTGCTCCTCGGAAACCCTATACAGGGTCGCTGAGTCGGAACCGACTCGGTGGCACTTAGCAACAACAACAATGTCGTGTATGGTCTACAAATGCTTTAAAGGGCTGCTGGTAGAAAGTAGTGGTTTTAAAAAATTACACCCTGTACAATTGTATCCAGCTAAAACTGATTCCTGCAATTCAAATAAAAGGAAGCCGATTCATTATTTGCTTAGAAGAAGAAGAAGAAGAATTTATGATGAGAAATCGGTACCAAATTTCCCGCATAACTAAGTTGGGAGAGAACACAAGTCTGGTGGTTGTGGGGGCTAAAGTACTAATTTACGGTTTGTAATAAAAGGCGGCGCCTGATAGAATCTGTATCTACGGTTACTTCAGTTGGCTGGATCTTGAACAATTAAATCTAATGGTTCTTCCAAGCGCTAGACCTTTATTTCCTTCTGGCTCAATCTCTCTGGTTCTCCCAGCTTTTCTCTCTCCTGACCAGAGTTTTCCGCTAAGGCAGGGTTAGCTACTCTCCTATGACCCTAGATCCTGAGTTGGAAGTGGCATTTCAGTGAACCGCCCCAAGGCTCGGGGACCCCTGCTCAGCCATCTAGGTCTCTGGCCCAGTCAACGCGTTGTGGACTTTGGAGAGCAACGCAGTTCTCTCCTCCAGCACAGAGCCCGCGCCCTGAGTCCAGCCCGGAGCTGCGCCGGGTCTCTAGGACTTTAAGAGTTGAAGCAAGCGACGCCTAGAGCGAGGTCGCCTCCAGGGGTCCCCAGCCATACCCCTACGCCGGCTCCAGAGCCCAAGCCCGGCCGCCTGCTCCGTGCCGCGCCCGGGGAGAAGCAGCTGTTCCCAACAGCTGGGGGGCGGCGGCGCCCGGCGCCCCAGGTGCGGTCGCGGCCAATCGCAGGCGTCCGGCCCGCCCCCTCCCCAGCCCGGCGCCGACCCCCGGCCTGCGGGGGAAGGGAGCAGAGAGGTGGAGAGCCGTCCTCCGCACTAGTCTTCCAGCTTCGCGGCAGGAGGGACGGGACTGGAGCCGAAGCCGCGCGGAGTTCCCCGGCCCCCGCCGCCCGCCTGCCCGCCTACCCACCTCCACGAGCGAACGCTTTCCTTGCCGACCCTACCCACGTCCCGCCCAAGCCACCTAATTTCTAAGACGGAAAAATCTACCTCTCAACGCACCCCTTTAGACGCTTGAGGACCACCCTCTCTTTCCATTTCGGGCCTCCCCTCCGGATGAGTGGAAACCACTGCCACTTTCTCTAGAACCGGATCCTAACCCAGACGATCCAGAGAATTTGTACCGTGACCGGCAGGGGGGGCGGCAGGAGAGAGAGAAGTCAAGTCTCCGGGGCTGCTGGCGACTTCGGAAGCCGTGCGCCCCGTGCCCTCGGCCGCCTCTGGCCGCACGCCCCCGCCGCGCCGCCACCCTCGCCCCAGGGCGCGCCCTTGGCCCCCGCCAGCAGCGGAAGGGTGCGGGAGACGCGGAGCCGGAGGAGGAGGCGCAGCCGCTGCCCGAGCCGCAGCCGCAGCCGAAGCCCGAGCCGCGGAGCGGGCGCGAAGATGCATACTACCCAGAAAGACACCACGTACACCAAGATCTTCGTTGGGGGGCTGCCCTACCATACCACCGATGCTAGCCTGCGCAAGTACTTCGAGGTCTTCGGCGAGATCGAGGAGGCTGTGGTCATCACTGACCGGCAAACGGGCAAATCCAGAGGCTATGGATTTGTAAGTTGAGCGAATGGAGGGGGGTGGGGGGAATAGAAGGGTGACAAAGAAATCGGCGGGGAGATGGGGCGGGGAGGGAAGGAGTGACTCCTAGCCCCAGGGTCAGAATTTGGAGTGAGGGGCTTGGTGTAACTGTGGAAGCAACCTGCGGGCTTGAGCGCGCTTCCCCTCTGCTCGTGGCTGAACTGAAACTTTGCGCGCGGAGCTGGAGGAGGGAGAGCCGGCGCCCCTGCCTCTTAAGGTTCCAAGAGGACCCGGAGGAGGTGGGAGTGGGGGTGCGGTGTAAAGGGTGGGGCGCGGCTGGGCTGGAAGACCAGCATTGTAATGATCCTTGGGTTTGGGGCGCCGAGGATTGGGAGGGAGGGGCCGCAGCCTAGCAGAATTTGCGTTCCGGGGTTGGAGGCCCGTGGTTAAGCGAGCTGTTGCTTTGTAAATTGCATTTTCTTCTGGCGTTTCGGCTTGGGCTGAGAGAGAACGTCCTAAGAGGCCTTCCCCTCGTGCCACTAACCCCCTTCTTTAAAAATTACGAAGGTAGATTCTGTAAGGGATGATCCAATGGCTCAGTGTTAAACCGATCAGAGCATATTACGTTTTTTGGATATTTAACTCGGAAATGCAGCTGCTGAGGGCCAGTGTGCCCCACAGTAGGACAATAACTATTGTCGTTGGGAATATGCAGGTGGCTGGGTGCCATGGGCAGACTTAAAACTAGATTTACTGAAAGCAGAGTCTGGGGGGGTGGGAGGGCACTGAGTCCTAGAGCCATTCTAAAAGGAAGTTCAGGCTTGTAGATCTTAACTAGGCCCAACTAGCACCCTTTAGACTTAGAATGAGGGCTGGGTCATTATTATTTTTTTAAGGTCCAACGAAAAGAGAAAAAGAAAGTTTGCGAACCCCGCATTTTTACCATTAATAACTTCTCTAGTTTGATTTTTGGTGTTTCCTTCAGGGGTTAATTTAGAGCTTTTTATGTGTGTCTCTGTGTGTATATGTTGCTAAGGTCACCATGGCGGACCGGGCTGCTGCAGAAAGGGCCTGCAAGGATCCCAACCCTATCATTGATGGCAGAAAGGCCAACGTGAATCTAGCATACTTGGGAGCCAAACCTAGGATTATGCAACCAGGTGAGGAAATGGCTATCATCCTCCATCCTCTAGCAGAGCCCCACACTTCCCAATAGTATGAATCCTTGATTCACAAGACCTTGGCTCCCTTAGAATCTGTAGGTGTAGTTAGTGAACTTGAACCATAGTTAGTTATACTACCAAGGCATTAAAAATAAATGAGAGTTACAAACACTCCTTTCAGGACCTGAAATGCACCTGTATGGACACACATCTGCTATGTGCAAACAGATCTGTGGGGCCTGGACAATTCGTTTACACCCAGATTTAGGCTTGACTCAGGTTTCCTATAAGATGCGTGTACATAATCCATTCTCCATTTTCTAACTCTTAGCATTTGTAGATAATTCTCATATGCGCCAAATTCACATATGTGGGCCAAATTCAAAAATTCAGCTAGCTGTACTTCTCTACATATTCCTGACTCTTTTTTCACCACTAATTGCCCTGAGCTCAGAGCAAGTTATCTGACTTGAACACTGATCCAAGGGAAGTGGGAAGTATGGCGTTAATATTGAGATAGAGAAATAGAGTTCCCTTAGTCAAGGGTCTTCATGTCACAAATGAGATAGCTGGCACTTAGCGATGAGAAGTCCTAACTCCAGTTATGTGGTTATTAGTCACCAATAGAAGATTACTATTTTGTCTGTGTGAAAAGAATCCCTTTGGGATCATTTGCACTGCCCTTTTCATTAGTATAAGTAATTGAGAGTTGACTGTTGTTGAGAAAATGTAATCTATTCTCTTGGGTAAGCAACTTTGCTTGATTAAATCATGTGCTTGTTTTAAGTTTTTCTATCTGAAGTTTAAGAAAGAAGTTGGTCATACTTCCATCCAAACTGAGTTAAAAGAAACTAGGTTGTCCAGAAAGTGAATGCATGAACAAATACTCCATTAGGTATTAGGAATCTTTGTGTGGTACAAATGGTTAAGCGTTCAACTACTAGCCAAAAGGTTTGTATTTAAAACCTATCCAGAAGTACATACCTCAGAAGATAGACCTGATGGTATACTCCTGAAAGGTCACAGCCTTTGGAAACTCTGCAGAACAGTTTTACTTTGCACACGTGGGTTGCTGTGAGTCAGAATCGGCTCATTGGCAACTAACAACAATGTATGTATTTGTCTGCAGTGTATATATAGTGTCCAGAAGAGAAGGAAAGGAGAATTTATCTTAGTGATTTTTGAACACCATAAGCTGCAAAGCCCAGTTCTTCCAGAGTGTTGTCCAGAGCATTTCAAAGTCACTGTTCCAAATTACAAAAGCTTTTTATAGGTGGTGATTCAGAATTGTAGGGATATTTGTGACATGTAACTTCATTGCAAGTCCTACTGTGTCTTGTTTTCATTTCACAAGAATTATCAAGATGGCCCTGTCGAACTGCAGTTATTATTATTTTTTTAATTCCCACTTTAGCTAATTAAAATCTTTACTCAGAATCAACAGCATTTATAAAACTGACATTTTATAAAACTATATATACATATAGTTGTTGCTGTTAAGAGCCATTCAGTTTGTTCCAACCTCTATATAGAGTTTCCAAGGAGTGACTGATCGGTTTGAACCACCAATCTTGCAGTTAGCAGTCCAGTGCTTATCCTATAGTGCCACACCAAGACTACATACACATATACATAGACATATATGCATATATATATATATAAACGTTTTATCTAAAGCATTAAAACAATAGTTATCTTTTCTAAGTAAAATCACTTTTTTTTTTTTAAGTGGTTGTATTTTATATGTTGTGGTAGGGTGATCATGTATAAACAGAGAATGTGGTGTGTTTTGTTATTAGGTTTTGCCTTTGGTGTTCAACAGCTTCATCCAGCCCTTATACAAAGACCTTTTGGGTAAGTGCATTGAACAAACCCTCTTAATGTTTCAATATAGCTCATTTGTTAACCTGCCTTTTTGTTATATACACACAAAGCATCATGTCACAGAATTTTCCTGGTTATACCTATTTATGTATGCTTGTGTATTTTTAATGCTGATACTATAAATATTTTTAGATGAGTCAAGTTATGTGACCCAAGTATGCAGCCTCCAAACCAGACACAATTTTGAGCTTATGAGTAACAAAAACAAAAACACCAGGTACGAATTGTGCACAAGGTGGTTGTGCCCGTTCTCTGTTACTGCTGTTCAACTTGACTCAATTGTATTTATCTCTTTCTAACCTGACAGGGCTCGTATACAGTTAAGCTAACTGATCAGAAGGATACGATGATAAGAGGTGGAATAGTTCTGTTTGGAATTAAATTCTGTAACCAGTAAACTCAGACACACAAGCTCAGATGGTGATTAACGATGCATGGATGTTGGTGTTGTTTTTTATTTTTCACACTAGTCAATAGACCTCCGTGTGCTTGATTGTATTTATTACAGTCCTGAAGTGGTGTTGATAGCTAAACTGTGTGCTTTTTAAATTTAATTGAAAAGAGCTGTAATGAAAGTGTTTTCTTTTCCTTGGGGAAGGGGCTCTTTGTGTTTTTGGTTTTGGTGGTGGTGTTGAAGGGTGTTGACTTTTGACTTTGCCATGGGAAGCAAAGGGTCTTTTTTTGTTCGGTTTTATCCCCCCTTGCTTTTAAGCTGTAACCTGTGACTTCCACTTACCCATATTTTTGTAGTGAGTGCTAAATATGTGTGATGGTCTTTCTGTAAGAACACAGATTCATTGCTTGCATGTCCTAAGTTTCTGTTTCATTGGGGAGTTTTATGGGAATGGGGTTCTTTCTTTTGTCATGTGTATCTACTTTTAGGCCTTCTAATTTCAAGGTTCAACTTTCATCAGATTTCATTAACACTAGCCAGTTGTTTTTTTAAGTAGAGTAGCACTAACGTTGAGGTAAACAGCCTGCTCCTATTTGTATTGTCTTTGAGTCTGTGATTAACAGTTTTCCTTATCTGAGCTCCCCATTTCCCTCCCATTCAGACACCTAATATGGGTAGAATACCACCTACCTCCTAAATTTATTCTGAACATTTGAGCCTATTTTGTCCTTATTCTACCCCATCAACATTCCTGTAACTTGAATGCCAAAGATTTTAAATTTCTTTTTGTAAAGGTTCTCATTGTCCAAGGTGCAATAATTTCTTCTCTCATTTAACACCCAAACATTGATAAGTCTAAACTGGAATGTTGGACCCTGTCTACATAGATAGATGTATACCTTATGTATCTCTCAAGAATAAACCAAAAGAGTACTAATAACCTGCCTTGGAAAGAGTCAAGCTCTCTGGTAGCGTAGTGGTTACGAATCGGGCTGCGAACCTTAAGGTCAGCGGTTCGAAACTACCAGTCGCTCCACGGGAGAAAGATGAGGCTTTCTACTCCCGTAAGGATTTACACCCTCGGAAACCCTGTACAGGGTCGCTATGGGTCGGACCCGACTCGATGGCACTTAACAACAACAACAACATCTTGTTTTAGAACCTTACACTCAACATATGGATGCTCATTCTTTTGCTAATTTTCACTCACCTTTTTTTAACCATACAAGAGTCTTCTGTCTGATTAAGAAGGGCCTATATGGACACATAGCTGTTTCTTACAATCCTATCCAAACCAACCTGGATTTGGATCACAAGTCATAGGGTGATGTGCCCAACTACTTCTGCAGGACCCCACTCCTTCATGGGTCTAACTTGTGTTTAAAGGTAGAACTGGGGAGGAGAACGTATATATTAAGTGAAGATGAACTTCATTATGATCTTACACGAATAGTCTCAAAACAATTGGAATACTAAATCAGTCAACAGGTATCAGTCTATGTTTATGTTTTCACTGTGAGTAAGGCAAAAGAGGAAATTGAACTTTAGTTTGGGAAGCTCAGGAATAATTAATTGCTAAATTACTTGGTATTCTGTCAAGTACAAGAAGAATTCACAGTAACGTGAATGTAGATGTCCTGGAGGAATTGGGCAGGGTTTTGAAAGGAAGGTACAGACTTGAACTAGACTTGGGCCAATTTGAGTATCCAATGCCCTGGATATAGAGAAGGGAGAATACAGATGTCTGAAAGTGGGTGTAGCATGATGGGATGAATGTGAGTATAGACACTGAGAAGAAAAGACTGTGTATGGAGAAAACAGACTGTTGATGCGGGGGAGGGTCTGAAGAACTGGACATCAAAATTTAGACTGTTTGTGGTGGTCTTTACAGAATCTTGAAAAAGAAAGCAACAAAAAGAAAATAAGAAAAACCAGTGTCAACTGAGCCACATGGAAATTTTAAATTAAGTGTGTTTTGATGGCAACCTTTTGTTTTCCATCTCTTCTAATAGTCACTGTCTTTATAAGGCATGGTGATTATTACTGTTTGCATAAATTGTTTAAACTTGAGATTCGTATTAGAAATAGATAGCATTCCAGATGAAACAAGCAAGCCCTCCCTTTCTTTTTTTAAGGGGTTTTCAACAGTGCTCTAATCCCCAGAGTTTGTACCTAATAAATCACATCTGCTCATCCTAAAATCCTCTTTGAATGCCACATGTCCTTATTTTAGGCCTATTAAGAAGCTTTGAGGGTTGTTTTTTTTAATTGCATTATCTGAAATTCTAGTTACTAAACAATTTTTGTTGTCCCTAAACAGTTCCCCGATTACTCTCTACCCTTAAAGACGAAGCCTTGGTCTGAGGGAACTTCTGATGCCACACATTGGGCAGATGTGTAGAAACTTGAGGATTTGCCTAAGAGTATCTTGTAAATATTTTATGTTTGGAAGAATCATTTTCTTATTGAAACCTGAGAGTAGACATTTCTAGGCTAATGTAGATCAGGTTGGAAATGTGTGTTGAACTTTGTGCTGAGTGTATTAGCAAGGTGCTGTACTGTCCAGCGACAGGAAGGGTGGTTACTGATATTAACTGAACATCTACTCCATGCCAAGCACTGATAAGAATTTACATAAATTATATAATTTAATCCTCACAATAAGTCTTTGATGAAGGCACTATTAATATCCTTTCTATCGTTAGGGGGAAAAAAAAAAAAAACTGAGCCAGACCCAGAGAGGTTAATTAACTTCACTGGGATCACAGAGCTAGGAAGTGATAAGTGTTTGAATTTCAGTTCAGAATCATGGTCTGACTGATAGCAAAGGCTTGGATATCTTCCCTCCTCTGTGTTAGGCTGCAGTCCAAAAGACATAACTCCTTCTCTCTTGTCATCTAATAAGAAAACTAACAACCCCAAAGTGCTCTCTCTGTGTAACTTCAGCTAAGGAAAGGAGACATCCTGTTGGTATAATCCCAGAAGTCTTCAAGAAAGGAGCTAGAACTTCAGCCAGGTTTTCGAGGATGATGATGTTATTGTTATGTGCCATCAAGTGTGTTCCAACTTGTAGGGACCCTGCCTAAGATTTCCAAGGAGCCATTGGTGGGTTTGAACCACAGACCTTGCAGTTAGCAGTCCAATGCTGATATTACTGTGCCATACCAGGACCCCTAAATGGTAATAGAGCTCACTTATGGAGTACCTACTGTATTCATCATAGTAGGATCTTCACATAGAGTATTTTTTTTCAATGCACAACCAATCATGGTTAAAGATATGCTGTCTATTTCACAGATGAGAATTGTGAGACTGAAAGGAAAAAGCTAATGGCTGCAGGCCCTACGCGAAATGAGTGCTAAAATGAGGAGAGGAGTCCCTGGGGTGGGGCAAATGCTTAAGCGCTGGCCTACTAACTGAAAGGTTAGTGGTTGAAACCCACCCATAGGCACCTGTAAAGAGAGGCAATCTACTTGAGAAACGTTTGTTGTTGTTAAGTGCCATCAAGTTGGTATCAACTCATAGCCACCCTGTATGGGGTTTCCGAGGAGCGGCTGGTGAGCTTGAACTGCCGACCTTGCAGTTCAAAGCGACCTTGCAGTTACAGGCTTGAAAACCCTATGGAGCCATTCCACACAACAACAGTAACAAAGAAGAGTGTTCATTTTCAGGATTTGGATTTCAGCAGGTGGAATGGGGATTGGCATCCCTGGCAGAGGGATGAGAAAAGTAAAGGTGAGGGTTATGAAAATCTGGCATGTTCAGGAAATCATTAAGAAGCCCTTTTGTCCTGGGTTTGTGGAAAGAAATAGTGGAAAGGTAAGCAGTGTGGACCCAGAATCATAAAGGGCCTAGAATGTCAAGGTTTAAGAAATTCGCATTTAGTTTGCTATGTGACTAGGAGCCCCTGATTCCTTTGAGCATTCTGAGATGCAGACTCTCTGAAAATGGTGCAGTTGATTAGAAGAGGAAACAATTGTACTGCTTTAAAAATCAGAAGTCAGAGGGACTTGAAGAGATGTGCAAAAAGAAAAACGTAAGGATTTTGTTTGAAAATTGCTGAAGTATCTGCTTGGCATTTGTCCTTTTGTATCTGCTAGGCATGTTCCTTAGACTATTAAGGTGGTGCGAAGTGTTAACTCGCTTGGCTGCTAACCGAAAGGTTGGAGGTTCAAGTCCACCCAGAGGTGCCTTGGAAGAAAGAGTTTACAATCTTCTTTGAAAACTCTGTGGAGCACAGCTTTGCTCTGACACACATGGGCTCTCCAGGAGTTACTCTTAATATAGGAGTTGTTTCCTGAGTGCCATCTTCACCCACCTGTTGGATTCTACCTTGCTTCCTGAACTGCGATACTTTGGTCTCTTCACAGTCTTTGAGATCCTCCTTTTCCCTGAACCTTAAAGGGCTCTAGGTTTTCATTTGACTTTCGATCTTTCAGGGAACACCACACCCTCATTGGTTAGCATTATCAACACAAAATAATTTCTCCATGAAAAGTAAATGCAGAGACAGAGAGTCTTCTAAGCAACCTTGTTTATCACTTAATGCATCCCACACACAAGCATATACACACACACAGTTTTGTCCTACCTCTTTGTGTAGGATAAACTTGTGATTAATTAACACTTTCATTCAAGCCTATGAATTTGCAATCCCTGTGTTGCCCTTTGCAACTTTAGGAGCCTGAGGGGTTAATGTTTCGGTATCAGTGAGCTTCTTGCTGGCTGGCCTTTGCAGCTGATAGATGTTTTACTTTGGCCTTATAAAGACATTTTACCCGCTGGAAACCCTTGTCGCATGACAGGATCAAAAATAGCCCAGCTGCAGCCCCCGGTGTCCATCACCACATGTAAACTGGCATGAACTGAGAGCAGGCTCTCTTAGTTATGTCTCCACAATGTAGAAGAGGCGACCTCTGGGGACAGAGTTCCTTAAAGCCACACCTGTCGCTTGGAATGAGCCTGTCACCTGACCTGCAGAAAAATTTTTTGAGTGTATGGACGACCACACGTCTGGTTTCTGACAAGCAGTTAATAACATCTCTTGAGTGTCCTCAGAAACACTTTGATGACGTCGTTTCTCCTGGCACTGGGAAAGATCTACAAGTCTAGTAAAACGCAGTGTATTTTTATCACTGGAGTCAGAGTTCACTACCCTTGGTGATAAATCCATCTTTTCCATGGATGTTCATTAATGAGTGCTTTTTGAGAAACGCTGAAACGGCAAAGCCAAAACTACGTTTTGAAAATCGGACCGCGCAAAGCTTTTCTGGTTTGAGTTTGTTCCAATGTAAAGGTTGTCACTTGTGCTTGTACTTTAGCAAGTTTTTGGCCTTTGCCAACAACCACATGGCATCATAGTGCCGTACATTTAGAAGTCTCGGAGTTTCTGATGGAGATGATTTTAAAGAAAGATGAAAATAAACAAAGATTCATGGTAGTATTTTCAATGGGCCATAATGAATCGCAAGAGTGAGACTTGAGATGTGCATGCATTGTGTTTTATTAATTTTGTAATGCCTCTTGTGATTTATTTATTTGACCAAATTGACTTTCAGGGAAGGTCATTGGAGTCTGTCTTGTCTGTGATCTGTGAATATTATCATTTTACAAGATATTTGATTTTATTTCACTCTCGAACTTTTTCAAGATCATGAAAAGAGTAGTAGACTTAGCTGTGCAAAGTGTTTACTAACAGGACAAGATGAAAACAATATAGGCTAATCAATGTATTCTTGATTTGGAGGAACAAACAAAAATGGATGTGCCAAAATTAAAATGTTTCCTAACTTGTGACACTTAAATAAACCATCTAGAAGTTTATATTAGTTTTGGAGATATTTGGTGTTCCTTCTCCCTCCCTTTCTCCTCAACCTCATTGTCTTCCCCAAAACCCCTTCTGTCTATCTTGTATAGAGATAAACAAGCTGGCTGACCCTCAGTTGCCTGCTAGTCAAAACAGGTTTGATTGACCTCTGTGTCCTTATGAATTTTATGGGGAAAACAGAAAAGAACGAAAGAAAGTGTGCTGCACTTCTCTTTGGAAATCACTGCCATGAATGTTAATAGCATTTCTGTAGCTTCCCACAACAGCCTCTTGTGACAGAATGACCTGCACTACAGTTGGTTTGAGAAGTGTGATTCTGCTGTGTTTACCACACTTGTGAACTTTTAAACTCCTTTGTTATTTTGTCGCCTGCTTCTTTTTTTTTTTATTATGATTTGTAATAAGGGTGACTGAGGTTGCAGAGAGATTAATGTGTGCTGAGTCTGCCTAGCAATTTCAAGTAGGGTTGCCATGATAATACACATACATCATTCAAGCCAAATCTTTTGTTGAAATTTTGTTTTCGTTTTGACAAAACTGGTCCCTGCCCCAGGGAACTGAGCAATCATAGATTACCTTTAAATCCTGCATTCACTAAGAATTTTTCTATTTGCCAAACATGGTTCTTTTCTGAACTAATCACAAGATTTTCTTAAGTCTTAGCCAATGAAGCATTTATTACTAAGGACTCGTTGCGAATCGGGCTGCGAACCTTAAGGTCAGCAGTTCGAAACTAGCAACTGTTCCGTGGGAGAAAGATAAGGCTTTCTGCTCGCGGAAAGGATTTACAGCCTCGGAAACCCTGTACAAGGTTGCTATGAGTCGGACCGACTCCACGGTACTTAACAACAACGTAGCCTTCAAGAACCTTGATTTTTTTTATTTTCCATACGTTGACTAAATGACATTTAATGGCTGTAAATAATCATAAACAAAAAAATTCCAGTGGGGGAGGGGGCCTCATGGCTTTTTTGTTATTGTTGAATTTTTTTTTGTTGTTGGCATTGTGTGACTTTGGTTGTGGCCAGAGTAATGTCAATGGTCCAGTACAAAAGTAGATATTGTGGCAACCCTATGCTGATAATAACCACTAAATTTGAGTTTGTCTTATTTCTGGACAATGAATGGTACAGAGAGGAGGTGATGGCTGCCTGATTTTGTTTTCCGTTTTTCAACAGGATACCTGCCCACTATGTGTATCCGCAGGCTTTTGTGCAGCCTGGAGTTGTAATTCCGCATGTGCAGCCGACAGCAGCTGCTGCCCCCACCACGCCTTATATTGAATACACTGGAGCTGCGTACGCACAATACTCAGCTGCAGCAGCAGCTGCCGCCGCCGCCGCCGCCTACGACCAGTACCCCTACGCAGCCTCGCCCGCGGCTGCAGGATACGTCACCGCTGGGGGCTATGGTTACGCAGTCCAGCAGCCAATCACCGCAGCGGCTCCTGGGACAGCTGCTGCCGCCGCTGCAGCAGCTGCCGCCGCTGCAGCATTTGGCCAATATCAGCCTCAGCAGCTGCAAACAGACCGAATGCAATAGACAAACATCTGATCAAAGTTGAATTGTTCTCTCTTCCCTTCCTTCCCCCCAACTTTCCAATTTTTAGTAGGTAATGAGAGCATTAACATTGACTTAACCGCTTTGGGGCGGGGGGCAAAAAAGCTATGCTATTACAAAGCAGGATTTTTTTTTTTTTTTTTAAATACTCCAGTAGTGTTCCTGGATGAGAAAGGGGTGACAATGGGGAGGGTAGGAACAGGTTTGGAAATCAATCCCAGAGACAATGAAAGGTCAATTTGAAATGATGGGCAGGGAACCGTGGTGATGGAACTTCACTTTTATAACGGGGTTTATATTTTTGCTCTTTTTATAGTATCAGGGAAGCAAACTGCCTTTTACAGTTAGGAAATGCTATTTGAATCTAGCTGAACCAGGGAATACAGAGTGAGCAATATGTAGCTTGAATTACCTTTTAAAAAACAGATTTTTTTTTTTTTTTAACATAGTGTTTGGAAGCACTGATTGTCATTTTTAGCAGTCACTATGGCCTATAGAACTTTTTTGAGTAAGAAGTTAATGTTCTTACTATCTCAAAAACGGGCATCGAACAATCAATCTGGGAGTGTGGTGTGGTGGGCGAAGTGGTGGACAGGCACCAAAGCTATTTTCTCATCTGTCCTCAGGATGAGTGGAACTATAGAGCAAGTGATGTGTAAGGAATGGGTACAACAGCTGTACAGACAATCACTAACACACAGTTCTGGAAAGAACACATCACTTGTGCTTGTTTGATGAGCTTGTCACATTCTAATCCCTCTCCCCATCCTGTTTCAATTTTGGGAAACTTGTATCTGCTGGTGTCAGCAATTCTGATTCTGAAATAGGATCGGGCATTTACTACAACAGCCTTCTCTATTTATTGTGTCGACTTGTGGCGTTATGAATAAAAGCAGGCAAAGTTTGCAGACTCTACACCCTTAAGAACTGTCTTAAGGACATTTATTTTTCCCCCCCTTTTTAAATAATTTTACACTTTGTAGTATCTATTTCAGAGTCATATTTAAAACTATTTATTAGTGATTACAGTACACGAGACAACAAGGTTACTGAGATTACAATTCTTCAAAGATTAATGATCATGTGGTTTATATTGTGCCTTAATAGTAATGCTATTTAAGATATTTATTTTTAAGTTTTACTATGCTGCACTCTAAAGAAAGGAACTTTAGATGTGACACTGTAAAATTATGTATTCATCTCATGGCATAAATTATTTAGTAGGTCTAGATGTAGCGTATTAAATATTAACCTATTCAACGAAAGACGTTGACTTGGATTTATTTAAATTCATATGTGCACTGTATAAGAGCGTACTCTTACATTAACACATTTTAGTTCATTTTAGCTTTTAGGTTTGTTAACCAGGCTACATTGCTAGTTTCATGCTTCCTTCTCTGATTTTTGCTCATGTAGATCTCATTTTTTGGTAACTCATCTGTCTAACACTCTTCTTAATGTAGTTTTTAAATGCTGCTTTACATTTTTTTCTTCTGAAACTGCAATACTTGCAATTTTTACTCTTAAACTAAATTGAAGACTATTTTACACTGTATTGGATTTTTATACTTGAACAATTTCATACAAGGAAAGACAGGTTAGCATTTTTATGGACTTTCTCCATTATCACTGGATTTACTTTAAGTATTCCCATACTAGACAGTGTTATGTAATGTAGACATGTCTCTCCTGTGCAAATTATTTATTCATTGTGTATATTGCTTTATAACATTTCAAATCTTCTAATCTATTCACTTGTAATAAATATAATTTTTAAAAACTTTGTTGTATTGATTGTTTCTAATTATGTAGGTAAGGAAGAAGGGCTTTTCCATTTCAACTAGAATTAATAGCCATGATTTTTACATGGAACAAATTCAGTGAGCATAAGCTTCCTGGAAAACCCTGGTTTTAAGCTTTTGAAGTTAAATTCATTAACTCAGCATCTACTTTATATTTAACACAGGAACCCTAAAGGATTATTCATATCACTGAAATTTGGTGAACTGAAGATTTTTTTGCAAGGAGTTAAGCTAGAGAGAGGACCCTCGGTGGTGCAAACTATTCATGTGTTCTTGCTGCTAACCAAGAAGTTGGAGGTTTGTGTCTACCTACCCAGGGGTACCTTCAAGAAAGACCTGGCAATCTACATCTGAAAAATCAGCTATTGAACACTCTATGTAGCACAGCTCTGTTGTCACACACATGGGATTTCCATGAGTCAAAGTAGACTGGCTGACCACTGAGTCAGAGAGCGGACTCCATCACTCAGAAGGTGGAGTCTGGTAAACAGGTTTGCAGCTGGATTCTACCACTTTTCTAGCAGTGTGAACTGGAACAAAGCAAAATCTGTAATATGCTTTTGATGAGGTTTTTGTGGATTTCTCATCTATAATGTTGAGGCAGTAATATCCATCTCACATGCTAGCCACTTCTTGGAAGCTATACAGGGTCACTGAGTTGGAACCAACTCGCCAGCACTTGACAACAACCATATTGAAGACACAATAATAATCATCTCACATGGTTTTTAAATGTTCAGTCATATAAAATCCTTGGCTTCAGAGGCAGCTATAAGCATTTGATAAATGACCACTAGTCGTAATAGTGAGGGTCCCGCTGGATCAGTAATCGACTGCTAACCACAGATTGGCAGTTCAAACCCACCAGCTGCTCTGTAAAAGAAAGATGAGGCTTTCTGCTCCTATAAAGATTTACAGTCTCAGAAGCCCCATATGGGGTTGCTATAAATCAGAATTGACTATGGCAGTGACTTGACTTTAGTAGTAATAGTTGTAATGCCCTGTAATGAAGTCCATCAAAGAGCAAGTATTTTAAGGTGTTTTCATAGTCCACAGGAATGTGGGACTAAGGTGTCTATTAGGATGTCAAATGAATGACTGCATATGGTCTTAAACTATTGGTTAAAGTGCCATTGAGTCAGTTATGATTCATAGTGACTCTATAGGGTTTCCAAGGAGCAGCTGATAGGCCTGAACCATCAACTTTTTGGTCAGCCAGTGCTTAGCCTACAGCATCACACCAGAACTCCTTAAAGCATATGTGTTAGGTTAATTATGAAATGGGTGGTTTTAATACTCAAATCCACAATTTAATGTCTTGTTGAATTCCATTAGTTTTCGAAAATTTCTATGCAGCAGAATGCTGTGGTAATAGATCCTATCACATCTTCTTCACTGGAACATCCTATTTGGAACATTCACAATCTTAAAACTTTAATTGCTTTTAAATTTCCTCAGAAAAATAGATACTATCTAATCCCCAGGGAGAGAGATGATTGCACCCCAAGACATTATCTTGAATCAGTAAAATAATTTCTATGTCATTTAAATCAGTCAGTGCATTAATATTTATCCTAAGGAGGCATGTTTTTATTTTAATTTTTCAGCTTTGGAAGGCCACTTTTGTCCTTAATTGCTGAGCTTTAAAATGAAACATTTGATTTATCTATTACAAATAATTCAGTTATTGGAAACAGTCAAAAATAACCATACTTAGGAGAGGCAAAAGTCTTCCAGATCTATACAAATACCACTATTAGCATTTGTGTTGTTAAGTGCCATCAAGTCAGTTCCAACTCATAGCAACCCTGTATAGGATTTCTGAGGAGCATCTGGTAGATTTGAACAGCTGACCCTGTGGTAAACAGTCCAGTGCTTATTCTATAGCACCACACTAGGACTCAATTAGCAATTGTAAAAGGGTAGAATTTTTACATTTTTGTGCTGAAGCACCTCAACACAAATTTTTGTTAAATAAAAAGTTTGTTAGTATCTAGTAAAGAGAGAGTCATAGCCCAGACAATAACTATGTTGGTCAAACAGGCTATTTGAATTTTTCAAAAAATGATAGTATATTGTGTGCCCTTAAAGTGAAAGGCTGCACAGCAAATTAAGTTTCCATTTAATAAAGGTGTGCAACAAGGCTGTATTCTTTCACCGTACTCATGCAACCTGTATGTGAGCAAATAATCCAAGAAGCTGGGTTCTATGAAGAAAAACATGGCATCAGGAATTGGAGGAAGACTCATTAACAACCTGTGATATGCAGATGATACAACCTTGCTTGCTCAAAGTGAAGAGGACTTAAAATATTTACTGATGAAGATCAAAAAGCACAGCCTTTGGTATGGATTACGTCTCAATGTAAAGAAAACAAAAATCCTCACCACTGGACCAACAAACAACATTCTTATCAATGGAGAAAAGATTGAAGTTTCAAGGACTTCATTCTTCTTGGATCAACTATCAACACATGGAAGCAGCAGTCAAGAGATCAAATGACGTATTGCATTAAGCAAATCTGCTTCACAAGACCTTTTTAAAGTGTTGAAGAGCAAAGATGTCAGCTTGAGGACTAAGGTGTGCCTGACCCAAGACATAGTGTTTTCAATAACCTCATGCATGTGAAAGTTGGACAGTGAATAAGGAAGACCATAGAAGAATTGATGATTTTGAGGTATGGTGTTGAAGGGAAATATTGAAAGTGCCATGGGCTGCCAAAAGAACCAATAGAACCATTTTGGAAGAAGTGCAGCCAGAGTGCTCCTTAGAGGCCAAGATGTCCAAACTTCGTCTCTCATACTTTGGACATATTGTCCGGAGGGACCAGTCAATGAAGAAGGATACCAGTTTGGTAGGGTGGAGGGTCAGAGAAAAAGAGGAAGACCCCCAATGAGATGGATTGGACAAGTAGCAGCATTGATGGTCACAAGCGTGGCAACAGCAGTGAGGTTGGCCCAGGATGGGGCATTGTTTCGTTCTGTTGTGCATAAGGTTACTATGGGTTGGTGCCGACTTGATGGCACCTAACAACAACAAACCCAAATTATTCAGAATCTTGGTGTGGAATAAACACTGAATTACCAATCACAAGATTGGTGGTTCAAACCCACCAACTGTTGCACAAAAACCCTATAGAGGTTTGCTTCTTTGAGCCTGAACCGACTTGACAGCTCTTGACAACAATCACCCAAATGGAATGATTCAGTAGTGGTTGCAGTTTTCAGAAGGTGAACTCCATTCTAGTTGTACCATTTCTAGTATCCTAGTTTCCCGCTACCCTCTCATCTTTCCTGTAGAGTAATTTTTGGCCAGTTAGTCTCCAACAGATAATTCTTTTTGAAAGGAACTCATTGCTTATAGAAGATATTCTTTATTTAATGAACCAATCTGTCATTTATCTAAAAGATGAGCTAAAGGAAGAATTCGATTTCAAGTTTAAAGTGTGTCTCAGTGTGATAGTCTTAAGGAGTTCTCTAGTCTCAACTGTTCCAGGATGTCTGGACTCTTCAAGAATTTGCATTCTGTGCTACATTCTTCTCCCATTCAATACGAATCTGTCGATGGTGGCCCTGATTAGAACGGTTGGTAGTGGTAAAGAGAGCTCAAGAAAGCAATGCGTCCAAGATGTGAATAGCTGGATAGATGAGTCCTGATTTCAGTACTTACCAGAGAGTGACCTTCAACCCCTCTAAATTTATAAAATGTGAGAGCTCACATCCAACATAGTTGCTGTGACTTCCTCTCAGGTTGTACTGATTAAATGAATTGAGTAGCACAACAGCATTTTAGAAATTCTAAAGCTTCATGCAAGTGGAAATAATTACAAAGGGAGACTATATATATATATATATGCAGCATTAAATTGGGAACAGATTTGAATTTTCTCAGATTAAATGATCCTTCTAAAAGAAGACAACATTGTTTCTCATGATGCTAATCTTTATTCTGTCAAGTAACCAAGTAAGTTAAGCTTGATGTACAACAAGAACGGCACTAAAATAACACTGACGGATGAAGAGATTGCCCAGAAAGGGAAGGAGGGGTAAAAGAGAAGATTATGGAATACATGTCTCTCACACAGGGGAACTATATTTAGTTCTCTCTTCACTACCTGTCAAATATTATTATTCTTATTCCCTCTGAAGCTTGAAAGCATTCATTAGGATGACAGCCTGAGATTTGAAGGGGCAGAGGTGAAGAGGAACCAAAAACATAAATAAATGCATTTTCATGCTGATTTGTGTTCTCTGTTCTCCACCAAGAGTTTCAGGCTGTTTCATGTAAATTTCAACTTTGCTTTGTTTTGCTTCAAGCACTTGGTACAGAAGAGGTTTCATTTTGGATATTTGCTCTGAGTTACATTTTAGAAATTCAATAATGATAATGGGGGTATACTATCTCTATTCCCTAGTAGCCTAGTGGATTACGAGCTGGGCTGCTAACCAAAAGGTCAATAGTTCTAATCTACCAGCCACTCTGTGGGAGACAGATGAGGCTTTCTGGTCCCATAAAGGTATACAGCCTTGTTAATACTATGCACGGCCACTGTGAGTCGGAACCACCTCAGTGGCACACAACCACCACCACCACCACTATCTCTACATCAAGCTTTGAACTCCCAATTTTAAATAAAAATAAACCAAGAAATGAGACAATGCATATAGATACATTTTAGGGTTTTTAGGTAAGAAAACAAATTATCTGTATTGATAGCTTTGTTACCAGGAAACAGTTTGACTTTATTGCCTGCCTTGCATTTGGTCATTTTTCACTAGCTTCTTCAGAGAACAAAAGTCTAATGTTTCCCTTCTTTCCAATCACTGCTACCCAGAAAGATGAATGCCACTGATTTTTTTTTTTTTTTTTTTTTTTTAAATAAAAGTCCAAGATGCTACTACTAAGCTATATTTCAAGTCAGTTGGAGATGACAGATTGGTAGCATTTTCCCACTGTTAAAGAGAATGTGCATGGATGG